GGTAAAGTGCAGACTAACCCTAAATAATAATGTCTAGTCCAACCAAACTAGGGTTAGTCCACTTGCACCACATAACTAAATCCCATAATATATAATATATATTATATGAGAAAAACTTATAACCTCAACCAAGTTTATAGACAATTAACTTGCTATCACAAAATTTCAAATTTGATTCTCTATTTACCGGACCTCAACATCACCACACACGTAGTGTCCTACTATTTATTTCAAAAGTAAGAATCAAAATATACAAATGAATTTTTATGTAAGTTCATTTATAGTAATTTTTTAATTTTTATATTAATAAATTTATTACAATTTGTTTTATGGAAATAGATAATGAAAAATAAAAAAATTATTATAATATTATATTATATTATATTTGTAAATATATTAATTATTTTTAGTTTGAATTTGGAAATAGAGATTTGAATTGATTAAATGATGTATAAATTTATATTTATTAGAATAAGTCTAATAGATTATTAAAATTGAAAATTTATAATGTTAAGTTTAAAATATAAAATTTTTTAATTGAGTTCCTTCAATAAGCTTGACAACTGAAGACTCAGAGTTAGGACAAAAAAATGTAATCCAATAGAAGAATACTTATGTGATACTTTAAAATTGATAAGTTGGATAGCACAATAAGACTCAGCTATTAATATTCACAATTATTACGGAGTATATGATTTTAATTTTTCTCCTCTTCAAGTAGATGTGACTTTCCATAAAACCAAAACCAAAACCATGGAATTCCCAAAAAAGGGCAAGACCCAGATGACAGTTAAGAATTGTGCAGGAAAGGACAGTAGTGGAAAACAAATAGGAAAAAAAAGTACAAAAAACATTGAATATAGATACATCTGATTCAAAAATGAGTAGTACAAACAGTGTTGCTTGCTGCTAATACTGCACCTCCATGACTTTCAATCAAAAAAATCTTGATAGCTACTACAGTAACCCTCATCCACACAACAAAATTAAATAATAATAATAATAATAATAATAATAATAATAATAATAATAATAATTACCCAAAATTTCTTACCATTACAACATTCAAATAATTGTGATTGTAGTCCGTATGGGCAGTTCAATTCGTCACAGCGGTGAAGTTCGAAAACAGTGATTCACTGCTGAAATTATGGAATTTTCGATCACCTGAAAGTGATCTTAAATCAAGTTGAAAGTCTTGTTCCGACACTTTTGGTATCCAGAAAAACCTTTGTTGCTATTTCCAACCACTTTTTACTTTCGACTTGATTTAAGATCACTTTCAGGTGGTCAAAAATTCTATAATTTTCAGCAGTGATCTGGGAGTCGGTCTCAGTCTCTGCAATAAGCAAATGTGTAATCTCTGTATTCAGCTAAGACTTTTTATTTTAAAATGGTAGCAGTGATGCTATCAGATCAGGAAATACCAAAGTGTGATATAACACTATCCCTACATAGCATCATACCATTCATTCCACTAATTAATTAATAAACATTTCAAGAATTCTTTTGTCTTTCTATTAAACCCAAAACTTTCATCATCTATTCATCTTTCATAAATACTTCAAAGTCATCATCTTTCAAGAATTCTACCCTCGTCGGTGAAAATTAAAAATCTTGTGTGTTTTTCCATGGAGATCCGGCAGGAGGAGCGGGAGCAAGATCAAGAGGCGGCGGGGGAGGAGCGGCGGGGTGGAGTTTTGCTGGATCTAAGCCTCAGTCGCCGGGAGGGTTCGGACAAGACGCCGCCGCCGCCGGCGGCGGCGGCGGCGGAGGAGGAGTTTCGTGGTCCGAAAGGGAGCAGTGAAACGACGGAGCCGAGGGTTTTCTCGTGCAACTATTGCCGGAGAAAGTTCTACAGTTCCCAGGCGTTGGGCGGCCACCAGAATGCGCACAAGCGGGAGCGGACCATGGCGAAGCGGGGACAGAAAATGTTGGCGGCGGCGGCGGCGTTTGGGTACGACGCGCCGATGCATAGATACCCCAGCATGGCTTCTCTCCCGTTGCATGGCTCGTATAACCGCTCTCTTGGCATTCAAGCTCACTCCATGATCCACAAGCCCGGCGGCGGCTATTTTGGTGCCCCGGCCACCGGCGCTGGGCCCTACGGCTACAGTGGGTGGCCCAGAAGGCCGCTTGATCAACAGCCGGCCGTCGGACGCCTGCCCCCCACGGAGTGTTTAGGGTCGTCGTCGAACAGCGGCGCCGCTAGATTTGATAGTGAGCCGAAGTTCCCTCCGCTAGTTGACGGCGGAATCCGATGGGATAGCGTCGGCAGAGGTGGCGGTGCTTCTCATATCAAGATTAACAATCAAGATGAGTTGAATAAGTTAGACTTATCCCTTAAACTGTAGTTCTAGTCTCTTTTTTTTTTTTTTTTTTTTTTTTTTTTTTTTTTAACGATAGTAGTAGGGTAGTAATTTTTTTTTTTCCTTTCAAAAAAAAAAAAAGTAGTAGTAATTTTTCCTTTTTTTTTTTTCCGGAAAATTTTAAAATTTGTTAATTTACTCGACAATTTCCTTCTCTTCTCTTCTGATTTTTTTTTTTTTTTTTTGGGGGTTAAAATTTAACTTAAATTTTCTTTTGTTTTAATTTTTTTTGAAAACTCTTTTGTTTTAATTAGTTAAAAAGCTATTGTAAACTGTTTTTTCATTTTTAAAAATTTATTTATAATATAAGGATTAAATCTAATCAAAGTAGATTCAATAGAAATCGAGGAAGACATCTCATCTATGATCTATTCATACTACACTCAATATTTTTGTTTGTTTTGTTTCACAGAGTGTTTGGTTGGAATGAAGAAATTATGAGATAAATGAATTGTAATTCAGTGAAAAAGAATAAAGGTAGGAATAAAGTAAGAATTCAAATTATGTTATTTGGTAGGGAGAGGAATATAATTATTGGGGATGTGAATGGAAGAAGTGATATAAAGACTAAAATGTTAAGCTGCGCTAAATTCTAAATTCTAAGGGGATATATGAATTGCAATTCTACAAATGGAGATAATTACAATTCTCTTCAACCAAACAATGTAGTTGCTAGCTAGTTTCTAAATCACATTGTACGGAGTAATTAAATTGAAATTCATGTCAACCAAACACACCGTTAAATCTGTACATGAAATTCTCCGAAACTTGATCACTCAAATTAACTTTTACACGGAAACAATATTTAGAATCACTACATTTAAGTATTTATTTTTTACCAAGACCATGTGGTCTTCTCGGGTTTGACTTTCATTTGGAAGGTTGTGAGTTCGAGCCTTAGTGGAGGCGTTATTGGTTCTTTGTGTTTCAGTAGGTTGAGAAAGTATATGAACAGATACTACATTGTAATTGAGCCAGTAATATTTATTTTCTTTTTAAATAATATAAAATTCCAGCTACTTTTCAACTTTTAATTACCTTTTCAGGTTTATCAAACACATAACCATTATAGAAACTCAATTTAAACAAATACTTTAAAAAAATATTCAAGTTTATAGTATAATTATAAAAAATATTAAATATTAACGAATTTTGATTTGTCTTAGAAGATACTAATGCAATATTGAATATATATTGTGCTTATTTCTTTATATTTGTGTAGTATTGAACACCACATTTTAATTTAATAATTAGTATCAAAGTATGTCACAACGTGGTGCTAACTGGTACATTCGATCAACCGTTTACTCAACCTAGTTTAACATATTTCGGGTTTCCAAGATTATTCAATATATTGTGGTGAACTTAGCTAAAAACATTACTAAAAATGTGTATTTTCAACTTTGGTTAGCAATATACATGTAGGACGACGTAGAAACTTAGCAATGGCAAATGGCATATCCTTAAATTGGAATAAAATTTCTGACATCCTTAAATATATGTTGGAAAATATGTCGGAAAAGTGATTTGCGACAAAATTATCCAATTTTCATAGTACTCATGTACACTAGAAAAATGCATATTTATGATAATATTGGTCTCCCCGTTCAATTTTAAAAGTAGCAAACTTTAATATACCACAATAAATTAAATGCCCCAAATTAAAATAAAATTTGATTTTTTTAAAAAAATTTATTAAGAGCAATGAATTATACCAACAACACCTTATTTAAAATATTTCACAAGCTGATAAAAAGGTGCACTTAAGTTAATAGGGCTTTTGAAAATTAGGATCGAGATTGATTACCAATTTCAATGATTTAGATTTTTAATTCATAAGCAAATAATAATTATATATTTTTTTTTTTGAAAATTTTCTGCGGTGCTTCATTAGAAAAATGCTGAAATAATGTCTGGTGGGTGAGTATCCCAGTACATAGTATCAGGTTGCTGATAAGCCGTAGTGGCTAAAGCATGAGCTAAATAATTGTCCGATCTAGAAATATAATTAAAAGAACATGAGTGAAAATAAACGGCAATTTGCCTGCAGCTATCAATGGCATAGCCAACGTAAGAGCGAAACGCGGTGGTTGATGATGTAAGGTAGCGTTGTAGTGTCAAACAATCCGTGTAGATCTCAATATTCTGTTCACCTCGATCCTTTAGCCATGATAAAACTTCCTTACACGCCAAAGCCTCAGCCATAAGTGGTGACGTACAGGCCGGTAGCGGCGCGGTTAGTGCCGAGATATAGGCTCCATCTCCATCTAATAAAACGGCCCCTACAGTTGCATTCCCTGTCTCGTGTAGATATCCCGCATCGACCCTGCATCTTCTCACTGGCGGCACAGAGGATCTGGCGGCGTCGGCAGCACCGCGGCCGGCGGTGGGACTCGCCTGGGTAGCGTGGCGGTTTTCTGTCGGCAGTGTAGCAGTGGCAGTGGCAGCCACGGCTGGGCGGAACTGAGTCCATGCGGTCTTAGCTGCCGCTGCGGCTCTGAGTAGGGACCCCGGGCGTGGTAAAAATGCCTCCCAAACTGCACCATTTCGAGCTTTCCAAATATTGTATAGAATTGATGCTGCATATAACATTCCATCAGAATCTAAAATATTTAGAAGTTCCCCAAACCAAACATGAAAAATATCCGTGACAATATTGGGGATTGTAAGGTTGGATTGATCCCAAATGTTTCTTGCAAAATCACACAAGACTAATGCATGCATTGTATTCTCATGTGATATCCCACACATAGCACAATATGGGTTCACCTCCACCCTCTTTAAAAGCAAGTTCGTAGTTGTAGGCAAAATATCACAAATAGCTCTCCAGAGGAACATTTTCCACTTTGGTGGAATTTTTAGTCTCCATAAAGCTAACCAATTAGTAAAGGGGTCTTGATTATTCTCATAATCTCCCACCAATCGTCTGTACCCGCTTTTCACAGAATATAATCCTCTCGGGTCCCCGTACCAATACCATGCATCATTATAATCCCGGGATACAGGTACTCTCATAATTCTCTCGACATCCGTAGGTTGAAATAAATCTGATAAAATTTCATTATCCCATGTACCAGTTTGTTGATCTATTAGCCCCACTACTCTGGCCTCTCGTAACTGTATAGGCATCTCTGTTTGTATCATAGGGTCCTGGTCATCCAGTAACCATGGATGGGTCCATATAGATGTAGTTTCCCCATTCCCAATTCTTCGTCTGACCCCACTACAAATTATGCTCTTTGATGCCATTATACTTCGCCAACAAAAACTGGGATTATTTGCTACCTGCGCATCAAAGAAAGTATCCCTGGGAAAATATCGGCTTTTGTAAACACGAGCTACTAAGGAATCAGGCTTAGTGAGCATTCGCCATGCCTGTTTCCCCAACATAGCTAGATTAAATGCACGTAGGTCCTTAAAACCCAATCCACCATACTTCTTAGGAACACATAGCTTGTCCCAAGCCTTCCAGTGAACTCGGTTGTCCGTCCCAGAACCCCACCAATATCTATTCATCGTTCTTTCTATAGCCGTGCATACTGATATAGGTAGCAAAAAAACACTCATTGAGAAGGTAGGCATAGATTGTGCCACACTTTTCAACAGTATTTCTTTCCCTGCCTGAGACAATAGCCTTTTATTCCACGACCCAATTCTTTGGCGTATTTTATCCTCAATATATGCAAAAGCTGCCTTTTTATTCCTACTCACAAACGAAGGTAGACCCAAATACTTGCCAAAGTTTGGTGCCTGCTCCACCCCCAAAACTTGGGCCACACTTTCCCTATCCACATTACTCGTATTCCTGCTATAACAAATACTCGACTTGTGGTAGTTAACCACCTGTCCCGATAGATCCTCATATACAGTCAGGCATTTCTTTATCTCATTAGCCTCTTCCACATTAGCCTTAAAGAATAAAAGGCTATCGTCCGCAAAAAACAAATGAGAAATCTGAGGGGCACCTCTTGCTACCCTACATCCATGAATTAATCCCGCTCTGTTAGCCTGTTGTAGTAACAACGAGAGTCCCTCTGCACAGATAATAAACAAATATGGGGATAGCGGGTCTCCCTGTCTCAAACCACGCGTGGGTATTATTGGGTCACTCCTTGAGCCATTTATCAGAATACTATAGGAGACTGTGGTCACACATTTCATAATCAAATCAACCCATCTATCATGGAAACCCAATGCCATCATCATATTACGGAGAAAAGGCCACTCCATTCGATCATACGCCTTAGCCATATCCAGCTTAAGTGCACCCCAGCCCCTCAATCCACACTGTTTTCGATTCAGAAAGTGCCCCACTTCTGCAGCTAATAGAATATTATCTGTTATCAATCTATCTGGGATAAAAGCACTCTGTGTCTCAGATATTATTCCTTCCATCAAAGGCTTCATTCTATTAGCCATCATTTTAGCTATTATTCTGTAAATGACATTGCTAAGTGCTATAGGGCGCAAATCAGTTACTAACTCTGGATTACTCTTTTTAGGGATCAACACAATATCTGTCTCATTCAAGCCAGACGGGAGGTCACCTGATTCAAGACAGTTTAGCACAAAACTCGCAACATCCCCTCCTACCACATCCCAGAAATGCTGATAAAAACCCGGATTCATTCCATCCGGTCCTGGTGCTTTATCCGGATACATTGCAAACAATGCATCCTTTACTTCCTCCAGATTAAATGGCCGTAATAGTGAGTCATTCTGCGCCTGTGATACCCTGGGTTCTATCCCCCCCAAAAAATCATCTCCAGTTCCCGGACCCCCAGAGCTGAAAATATTCTTAAAATAGTCCAGAATGATATCTCTCATGGGATCCCCCTCCAACCAATCCCCATTGTCATTCATTAATCTAAGTAAAGTATTCTTTTTCTTTCGGTGAGAGGCATACCTGTGAAAGAATTTGGTATTGGCGTCAGCTTCCTTGAGCCAGTGCTGCTTGGCCCTCTGCCTCCAGTATGCATCCTCCTGGGCCTCAGTGCGACTCAGAAGTTGCTCTATTCGCTGAAACTCGACAAGAGAGGCCGAGTCAGTGCATCCTCTCAAACGTTGTTGATCCCGTTTCAGCTGCACAATCTGTTTCCCATACTTATGGAACCGATCCCCACCCCATCGT